GCTGTCTCCCGGGTCTTGCTGTCTCCCGGGTCTTGCTATCTCCCGGGTCTTGCTATCTCCCGGGTCTTGCTATCTCCCGGGTCTTGCTGTCTCCCGGGTCTTGCTATCTCCCGGGTCTTGCTGTCTCCCGGGTCTTGCTATCTCCCGGGTCTTGCTGTCTCCCGGGTCTTGCTGTCTCCTGGGTCTTGCTGTCTCCCGGGTCTTGCTGTCTCCCGGGTCTTGCTGTCTCCCGGGTCTTGCTGTCTCCCGGGTCTTGCTGTCTCCCGGGTCTTGCTGGCTCCCGGGTCTAGCTGTCTCCCGGGTCTTGCTGTCTCCCGGGTCTTGCTGTCTCCCGGGTCTTGCTGTCTCCCGGGTCTTGCTGTCTCCCGGGTCTTGCTGTCTCTGGTGGTGTAGTGCACACCTCCCTCACTATCAATGCATTTTAGTTCCTTCTCACTCAGTGTATGTCTACTACATGTGGATTGTGTTCATTGCCTATGTGTTCATTGCCTATGTGTTCATTGCCTATGTGTTCATTGCCTATGTGTTCATTGCCTATGTGTTCATTGCCTATGTGTTCATTGCCTATGTGTTCATTGCCTATGTGTTCATTGCCTATGTGTTCATTGCCTATGTGTTCATTGCCTATGTGTTCATTGCCTATGTGTTCATTGCCTATGTGTTCATTGCCTATGTGTTCATTGCCTATGTGTTCATTGCCTATGTGTTCATTGCCTATGTGTTCATTGCCTATGTGTTCATTGCCTATGTCTTCATTGCCTATGTCTTCATTGCCTATGTGTTCATTGCCTATGTGTTCATTGCCTATGTGTTCATTGCCTATGTCTTCATTGCCTATGTCTTCATTGCCTATGTCTTCATTGCCTATGTGTTCATTGCCTATGTGTTCATTGCCTATGTGTTCATTGCCTATGTGTTCATTGCCTATGTGTTCATTGCCTATGTGTACATTGCCTATGTCTTCATTGCCTATGTCTTCATTGCCTATGTCTTCATTGCCTATGTGTTCATTGCCTATGTGTTCATTGCCTATGTGTTCATTGCCTATGTGTTCATTGCCTATGTGTTCATTGCCTATGTGTTCATTGCCTATGTGTTCATTGCCTATGTGTTCATTGCCTATGTGTTCATTGCCTATGTGTTCATTGCCTATGTGTTCATGACAGCATGCGGCATACACAATTGCATATCGTGCAACCGCCCACCGTTTGAACAGATTCAAGGCAAGACTAGTGAAGATACAACCAGCCCTAAAGTCTGCACTGAATGTGAGCTGGGAAGTAAACTGATCAAAGGACGATGCCTGGGACCGCAAGGTAATAATCTCTCTCTCTCTCTCTCTCTCTCTCTCTCTCTCTCTCTCTCTCTCTCCCACACTCACTGTCGGTCTATGCTATGCCCTCCCTCTATCATCATCTCCTTATCTCTATCTCTTTCTTTCTCTCTATCTATCCACCTATTTCCTTGTCTGTCTCTCTCTCTCTCCCTCTCTCTGTTTCCCCTCTATCTGTTACTCTCTCTATCTATCTATCTACCGGTATCTACCTATCTACTCTTTCGGCGGACAGAACTGCTTCGTCCTTTGTGGACTCATCAACGCAGCACAGAGAAAATGAGGCCGAACCTGGTAGCAATGAAAAATAAATTTTCCAAAGCCAGATTAAAACCAAGCCCGAACGTACCTTGCCAGAGTGCTCAAACTGACAAGTCAGTGAGCTCTACATAACGCAAACAGAAAAGGCACTGCCCCACACGAGAGCATCTATCTACCTATCTATCTCTCCCTCTTTCTTTCTCTGCCAAACATTGCCAAGGTAACGGGGCACAAACTGGCGGTCATGGAAACACACCACTACATAGATTGTAGTTTCCCATTGCCACACATACAATCTACGTGCACACAGTGTTAGAACACAATCTTCACAGTCTTCTTCTGCTTGTAATGTTCATGCATGGCAGATTTTTTAACTTCCATAACACTGCCCCGCTATGACTCCCTGGCCATGGAGCCCTGTTGATCGGTACTTTAGTATTGTGTAAATGACTTGGACACTGGTAGTATTGCCGCCGGGAAAGGGGGTAAGATGTGGAATAGGAGGAGATGGGATCAACGGGGTCACTGAACACTTCTTCTCTGCTGTCTGGTTTTTGTCTATGTGTGCGTGGTTGTGCTTGTGTGTTGTGTGTGTGTATCTGTGTGTGTGTATGTGTGTGTGTGGGGGGGGGGGGGTATGTGTGTGTATGTGTGTGTGTGTGTGTGTGTGTGTGTGTGTGTGTGTGTGTGTGTGTGTGTGTGTGTGTGTGTGTGTGTGTGTGTGTGTGTACATCTAGATACTGCCCTGATCCATCCGCGTAGTGATCGCATAATCATCATTGCTGTCAGTGGTGGAGTATTCGTGCTGGCCATTCTCCTGCTGGTAGTCGCTTTCTTCATCTACCGCAGAAATAAGAAAGAAAGTGTGTACAAGGCGTCTGCGTAAGTGAAAACAAATGTGTTTGA